TTTTTTTTTCTTTTTTTTAAAGAGACAGGTCTTACTCTGTTGCTCAGGTTAGAGTACACTACAGCCTTGACCTCCTGGGCTCAAGTGATCCTCTTGCCTCAGTCTCCCACATAGCTGCGATTACAAGGCCATATTACCGTGTCAAGCTAATTTTATTTTATTATTTTTTTTTGAGACAGACCCTCAAGCTGTCCCCCTGGGTAGAGTGCCGTGGCATCACAGCTCACAGCAGCCTCCAACTCCTGGGCTCAAGCAAGTCTCCTGCCTCAGCCTCCCAAGTAGCTGGGATGTCAAACTAATTTAAAAAAATTTTGTTTTTGTAGAGATGAGGAATCTATATTGCCCAGCCTTGTCTCCTGGCCTCAACAGATCCCTCTCCTACCTTGGTCTTCCAAAGTGCTGGGATTACAGGCATGAGTGCCCAACCTGAGTAAGAGTGAGATCCCATCCCTACTAAAAACAGAAAAATTAGCTGGGCATTCTGGTAGGTGCCTATAGTTCCAGCTACTTGGGAGGCTGAGGTGAAGGGATCACTTAAGCCCAAGAGTTTGAGGTTGCTGCGAGCTATGATGTCACAGCACTCTACCCAGGGTGATGGAGTAAGACTCTGTCTCAAAACAAAACAAAACAAAAAACCCACTATATTCTAAAAATAATTAGCAGTTTACGTTGCTATGTAATGGTAACGTACTTGGTTAAGATTTTGTTTGCTATGGTGGTTTATTAAATAGTGTCACGAACTGCTAACCATCTTTCTCCTTTGTGTGACCAATACCCTGGATTGGGGTATTGAGACAGAGCAGTGACACCCCCAGGGAAGTTGGGTATTGTGGTTCTCCTTTTGGAAGTTCCTCAGCTGCTTTTAGAGCAAAGGATAGAATGGTTCTGTTCATGCAGTTTTATTTCATCTTTCTCTTTAGGATTTGGTCAACACTGGACTCAGCACTTTCTTTTTCTTTATTGCTTCCATCGTACTGGCTGCTTTAAACCACAAAACAGGAGCAGAAATTGCTGCCGTGGTAAGAGAACTCAAGTGGTTAAACACAGGCTGGTCACACAATCCCCGTGGCTTGCTCTCTCTGTCCCTGGTGGGTGCCCTGCTCATTCTCCTCCT